GAATTTTCTTTATCAATCGTGGACAGTGTTGAATTTTCAGAATGAATTGTGACGATCCTTGGATATTCTATATGTAATCATTAGTTATTTGTACATTAGAATACAATTTAGGTTTCTATCTTGTCGTGGAATTTTAAATAATTCAAGAATTCCAGAAATTGAGAGACTTATATTAGGAATTTTCTTTATCAATCGTGGACAGTGTTGAATTTTCAGAATGAATTGTGACGATCCTTGGATATTCTATATGTAACCATTAGTTATTTCTACATCAGAATACACTTTAGGTTTCTACCTTGTCGTGGAATTTTAAATCATTCAAAAATTTGATTATTTTTCATGAATCATCATTTCAAATGAGGATGGCGGGGAACAAAATAATAGCAAATGCATAATTTAATAATAATAAACATATGTTTAATAAAGCACTTTTATGGTTGTAAATTATGTAACAATTACCATCATTTATTAATATATAAATTTTTAATATAAATTTATTTTTTCTAAACCAAATAAAAATTATTTTTTTTTGAAAAAGCGGAGAAAGACCAAAATTAAAAAAATGAAAAAAAAAAATCAGTTTTTTCTAAAAGAAAAAACATACAAAAAAAAAAATCAAGATGATCATACAATTTCATTTGCTTCATCATCTGATATAATGGCACCTTGTGCAGATTCTTCTAAATAAATTAAAGCTGCTTCTGCGGCTTTTTTTGGCTCGTACCAAAGTGAAATTGGTACTAGGTTTGAATATAAATCATTACCACTATGGCTGCTATTAATTTCGTTGCTGCTATTAATCTTGCTGCTGCTATTAATCTCACTGCTGCTATTACCCCCACTACTACTGCTGCCACTACTATCACTAGAACCAAAAATACTGCCACCGGAACCATCAGAACCACCAGCACCACCAGAACCACCAGAACCATCACCACAGAGCTCCAAAACCCTGGAACATTTTGCAAATTGAGAGTGTCGTTTTGATAATGCACCTGATTTGATGGTTGTGCAACCAATATCATTTAGTTGGTCACTTTTTGAATATGTGCCAGTTGAGTTTCCAAAAATCATTGCTTGGTGGGCTTTTGCTGCTCCAATATATAGGTCTATTTTTTGATAACTTTTAGCCGATTTTGTCATTTTACAAGTTTGTCTTACAATTTTTCGTGCTTCGTCTAAATTTTGAATTGGTGTTACATGATATGGTGTGGGTTTTTTTTGAGAGAGTCGGGAAAGTCTTTTCAGTTGATTACGATGACGGGGTTGCCATTTTGATGGCAGGTTATTTGTTCGTACTATGCTGGTGTTACTGCTAGGTGATTCGGGTGATGGTTCTGCAGAGATTGATGGATTATTATTAATATTATTTTTATTATTAATATTATTATTATTATTAATATTATTTTTATTATTAATATTATTATTATTATTAATATTATTATTAATAATATTATTATTGTTGTTAATATTATTATTAATATTATTGTTATTATTAATATTAATATTATTGTTAATATTATTGTTATTGTTATCATTATTGTTAATATGATCATTATTGTTAATATTATCATTATTGTTGATATTATTATTATTAATATATGATTGTTCCGTGATAGAAGTTGTGACTGCTGTACAACAGCAATTTGATAATTTGGTTTCTAGCTCTCTGATATGTGTTTCTAATTTAAATAATTTTTGTTGGTATGATGATATTTGTTGATTCAGTGTTATAACATGATTATATAGCCTTTCCTCACGTATACATTCAGGTATAGTTAATTTTGCACCAAAATATACCTCCCCAGGGCCAACAAAAATTTCATACCGGTCTCGTGCATTGAAGTCCACATAAATATGAGAGTTGTTTTTTAAATAACGAATATTATGAAAACTTGAAGATTGGAACTGCACCGAAAATTTAGCAAATGTTTCATTGTTGAAGCTTCCCAACACATCATTAACTTCTACACGAAAGGTCATTTTAATTCAAAAAAAAAATTTTTTTCTGCAGATTTCTGCAAGTTCTGCAGAATTTTATATTGATATCTAGATAATCTAATCTACAAAAATTGCAGAAATCTACAGAAAATCACAGAAATCTACAGAAAGTTGCAGAAATCTATAGAAAATCACAGAAGTTTACAGAAATCACAAAAATTTATAGAAATTGGCAGAATTTCTAATGATCAACAAATTTTTGTTACTACGAATTTTTATTAAAAAACTCATATTACAGACAATAGATTTTTGGTAAGAAGATTTTTGAATATAATTACTAATCCCACTACAATGAATTCACATGATAAATGACAAATTATCAATAAAAATGTACAAAATGTGTGAGAATGAATGAATGCATGAGAGAGATTGAATGTGTGTGTGTGTGAAGTGAGATAGATTCTATTTGGATAAGGTTTATTCAAAGTATTCATTGAGTATCTGAATTACATTGAAAGTTGAATAATCTATTATATTAAAGATGTCTCTGCACATCTCTGTACGTTTTCCGCACATTCCACACATTTTCCACACATTTTCTGCACATTCTCACATTCTCTGCACAAATTTTTTCCTGCATAAAGATATATTTAGAATTTAAAATATGCATCCCTTCTCACGTGTAAAATTTCTTTGCATTATGACCACCTTTGATGTTAATTTTATTATATATTAAAAATAAATAATGTATACATGGATTGTGCTGTGTTAGTTAAAAGACAAGAAACTCTTTAGATGTTGAGAATTATTAAACATACGTATTCATATGTATGATTGTTTTTTTTGCACATAAATGTTTATGTTGCCTTTAATAATGTCATATAACACAAAGAGAGGATCATTAAAAGTTTTCCATTTTGGTTTAAAGAATTGCATTCTTTACACATGGTTAGGCATTGCATTTTTGTATTCTATGGCTGAACATTCAAAAAATTTTATTTTTTTATCTTTATTCATAATTATTGTATTAAA